TTAACAATTTTGTGCTTTGGTAGACATATGCGGTTGACATGTCTTTTTTAGATTGTACAAGATTTTTATGACCTTGTTTTGTTGTCTTTGTAGGAAGTTTAGGTTAGATTTGTCTCCTGTTGCCCAAAAGGTAATGAGGTAGGTTAGTTTTGGCTTTATGTACGCGTGGTAGACTATGTTTTTTTGTTGTGTAGGTAATGCATTGTTTAGTTTGTGAGCTAAGCATGTATATGATGCTAGAGTTGTGGCTAGTTGTTGTATGTGGTTCTTCCAGGTGAGACGTCTATCTATGGTAAGTCCTAGGTATTTTATTTGCTGTACTTCTTTCAAAGTTTTGCCCTTTAATTTTAATGTGTAGTTAAATTAAATAATTATAATTATGGATTGCTTAGGTAAGTAAAAACTTTTAACCAAACCCAATAATGACTGTTGCATGCGGTAAAATTTGTGTAACCATTAGCGACTGCCTTTCCGCTGGGACAATGAGTCAATAATATATAACGAGTCATTTTGAGTAATTCTAAGAGTGTGGGGAAAGTTAAAACAACACCGAGTTCCGAATTCCAGCAGACCGGACAGAAATCCGGATAAAATACAAAACCAGCAAGGATGTCCAAGTAACGTACTAATAATGCATGCCTCATTCATGAACCCCAATTGAATGGGGTCATTACTAATACCGTGGTTGAGGGGGAGTCCGAATTGTACTGTTGTCCTTTCTTGTCCTACACTCCACTAGCCTAAATCGGGCGTATGGTCGGCCCGGCGACAAAATTCCGGGAATGGCCTTAACCATCGACACTGTCATCTACGACCTCCTAGGGAAGATGACCTGCCGGAGTGAAAATTAGGATCCACCAAACACAGGTAACGCTGTGCAGTGGCGGGAGGATACATATAGAACCGAAAGGGGGTAAAATAACCCTGAAAGATGTAAGTGTAAGGCGTGACCGATGGGGCCTGTCATACGTTCTTATACTCAACAATTTTTTAATTTAAAAAAATGGTGTGAAAAAAACGTTATGTAGTAAAATATTTATTTTGAAATAAAATTTATCTGCCTGGCATTAGTTTTAAAATATCATTTTGCGACTGCATGCAAGTACCGAGCAGATGGCTATTACTCGCAAACTATTTAGGGCCTCAAGTTCCTTCTAATAATCATACAAAATCCCTTCCAAAGGGGAATTGCATCCTTAGTTAGTTTATTATCTTTAAAATAAGCTTTTTTTTCACTCCCTGCAAAGAAATAATTTTGTACGAAAATGTAAACCATATGATGCATGCCAATTACAAAATAATTTATTTTGTAATAATAATTTATATAGTATTTAGTTAAACACTGTGTATACAATGGAATAAGTAACCCGTAGATAAGGATAACAAATGAAAAGGTGAGGCACGTTTGTATTTTTGCAGATATGCATTAAAACAAAACTAACGAAGTTATTAAAAATAAAAAATATTAATTCTCGAATAATAATAATTCTTAAAAAAAGAAAATATTTTTTTCCAAATTAAATGTTCAAATAGGCTTATGCCTATACCCTAGCCCAGTGTTTCTTAACCTGTGGTCCGCCGCAGTCTCACCTATGGACTATTTAACAATAATAAATAAATGCTACCAAAAGTCTCAGGAAATATTAGATTAAGCACTGAAACATTTACTGGTTTTCTCAACGACATACTTCTGTGAAAAGGCATTCTTCTCGCTTGTATATATTAAAAAAAAATACATAAACAGATTACAAGTGAAATCCGATTTGAGATTGCAACTTAGTAGTAACATCAGCCCAAATATCATCAACTTAGTTGCAAAGAAGCAGCACCAACCTTCACATTAGCGTATTTTTTTGTATTTGCAGTAATAAAATAAATGGTTTGACATGTATTGCTGTTTTTTTTATAAAGGGGTCCTTGGACTTGTGCTTGATTTTCTAGGGGTCTGTGGACGGAAAAAGGTTAAGAACTGCTGGGCCTAGCCTTAAAAATTCCTTCGCACGTTAAGCAGCATTTCAGGACTAATATCTTGGTATGGATAAAACATTTGCACCCTTAATTTATCGAGATGCTGAATTCCTGGCCGCGATGTCGGATGGAAGTGTTGCTTGATGTTTGACTGACGGCAATGGCGCGCGATTTAAAATTCAAGTTCTTATTGGCACACCCTTTATTTAGTCCCTTCTCAATAGTAACTAAGGGAATAAATAGACAATGTTGATTGCACGCTTAGTAATTATATATCCGAAATCATTGAATAACTTTCATATTTTAATTTTGGACCAGACTGATTATTTGTAAACAAGACTTTAAGAATATTAAAAAAAATCCAAACCGACTATAGCCTTATAACAGATTGTTTTATCTGGTACAAAATATTTTTTCCTTCGCCTATAATTTATCTCTGTTTGGCAATACATGACTCCAAAACTTATTTGAGATGCTTTTCCAAATAAATTAAACTTGAGCTCGATATCTTAAATCACTTGAAATTTAAGCCGTTATTATGAAGCAAATATAAACAAAAGTTGTCATCAATTTTATCTGAATTGCGCAAACCTTAACTTGTATTACAATCTTTTAAAACATTTTTCAAAATAATGCAATATAAACCAGATGTGCCAGGAACTCTCGTTTATTACGTGGCGCATACCATTTGACGGTGGCCTATTTTACCGCGATTGAAAGATTTATTATTATTCATTCTAACATGAATTTATTTCGATAACATTAAATCTTTATTCTGGACTTCCCGTCAAACAACGTTGTGTTTAGTTTGTAAATACAATAAATGAGCAATGAGTGAACTCGTTTCATGCCTCAATCCATCAATTTGTGTCAGAGTTAAAGAAATTGCACCAAATTTACTTTTTGTAATTTTATACGCCCATAAGACCTAATTGAATCACGCCCATCAGAATTATAAATGATTGCTTTTTACTAAAATAGGAACTACCAGCAGAACTCTAGCATTGAATCATTCCAAGAACAGCGATCCACAGGGCTTCACTACCATGCTTAAAATACCCCATAGATTCCTATACAAAATAATCTATCGGGCGATACCGGATTCAATATGTGCATTTGTCCATGGGTTTTTCCGGATACATCCCGATAGAAAATGTATAGGAAATTACCTATAGGCACACCATAACTTTTACATTTTCCCTATTGAGACCGATAGCAAATAACTCAATGAAGGATATATAGGGATATCCCTATAGAGCAACCATAAAAATTTTTACAAAATTTTATTAAAACCTATGGGGTCCTATAGGGGAAAAACTAATTTCTACATTTATGTGTATTTTCCCCATTGAAACCGATAGCAAATAAATCAAGGGTGGATATCCCTATAGAACAACCATAAATCTCAACTATGGGTCCTATACAAACCGATACACCCTATAGAAACACCATACATCCCGATACAAATATCTATCGGTTTGAACAGGGTCTCTATGGGGTATTTTAAGCAGGGTAACTAAATCACTCATCTGCCTCCCCTTCAAAACAATTAGCAATTCGCGCCATAAGGACGCCATCAGTCTAGCCCAAATCAGCCGGCAATGCGGAAAATTCCGTGGCATGCAAATCCACCCGCTCTAACATTTCGCGAAGTAATGTCCCCAGAGAAATTTTTTCCGACATTTTTATTAAGACCAAAATTGTCTTACAACAAAAACTAATATTACACGATGTGACATCCCACTTCTGATATAATATTTTGTAATATATAGGTGCTTTCCAATTCACCCGATTGAGCACGCAATGCAGCACCTGCGCGTATCGGGTTTTAAACACCAAGAGTTACGGGAACGCAAACTTAAAATCCGGGGCTGCATTGCGTGCTCAAAACGGTCAATTGTAAAACCCCTTATATTAGAGTATTTGTGGTATAAGGCACAGAACGAAAATAAATGTCATGTCATCTGACATTGACCGAGGACAAATATTTATTTTAAATTATAGAACATATATTTGCTTTAATATTATGAATAAAGCCATAGCTAACAATAAAAAAAAATAACTTTCCCTACAGCATTGCATAGCCCCAAAGTGCTCGATTTTTGGGACACCCTGTTTATTAATATTATTAATATATGTGAAGCGCTCTAAAAAAAAGGGACTTTATGATCGTTATAGATTAATTAAAGACTGCTCTTCTTCTTGAATATGTTTTATGTAACAACGCGTTAAACATTCTCCGATTGGGCTGCTGTCCAGTGCGCTCGGCTGTTCATTCCTTCCTTTAGAATTATGATTGTGATACATTAGGATTAGGATTCTTATAGATTAATTAAAGACTGTTCTTTACCCTGCTTAAAATACCCTATAGAGACAAAATAATCTATCGGGCGCTACCGGATTCAATATGTGCATTTGTTCATTGTTTTTTCCGGGTACGGCCCGATAGAAAATGTATAGGAAATTACCATAGGCACACCATAACTTTTACATTTTCCCTACTGAGACCGAAAGAAAATAACTCAATGAAGGATATATAGGGTTATCCCTATAGAGATACCATAAAACATTTGACAAAATTTTATTAAAACCTATGGGGTCCTATGGGGGAAAAACTAATTTCTACATTTATGTGTATTTTCCCCATTGAAACCAATAGCAAATAAATCAAGGGTGGATATCCCTATAGAACAACCATAAATCGCAACTATGGGTCCTATACATACCGATACACCCTATAGAAACACCATCCATTCCGATACAAATATCTATTGGTTTGAACAGGGTCTCTATGGGGTATTTTAAGCAGGGTAATTATGTAAAGTCAGACAATTTTTTTTTAACTATTTTGCATGTGTCAACGCGTTATTTTTTGTTTTTGCTACCGTCTAGCGCGTTTGCCTGTTCTTTCCTTTCTACTTTAAAATTACCGGACACTTGGGTCCCTTTTTTGGAGCGCGTCACAAATGTATTTTTGTGTAACAAAAATAATATAATAAAGCAAATTATTTACTATTAAAACATTATTACAGTGACTCTCCAGTTTTGTGGATAAGACTAGATCCTGAAATGACATTATTAAGATCGGTGGTCATAGAACAGCCAGATTACCAGTGGCAATATCAATTACGTCATGAAAGAGACGTAACAGCTCAAATAGAAGCAATTTTAGCTTTGGAAAGATATCCTACGCCTCCCACAAGATTGGCACTGACTGACACTATTGAAAATGAACAATGTTATTATAAAGTAAGATGTAGAGCTGCCCATTGCCTGACAAAAGTAAGTTATTTTACTATTATGGTCAAAATTAAACTAAATTACTTTTTTTAAAACATCATTTTTATCTTCTTTTAATAACCATTTACATTTTTTAGAAACTTTGGTAGGTATTAATTAATTTTATTTTATTAATTTATTATTATTACCAAATATATATATTACCAATTTGCTAATTTAACCGATTTTGTAGCTCCACACGTTATTTAAAAAGATAAAAACCATATTTTTAAATGAATTGTAGTTTACTAAATGATTAACCTACCTCACAAATTTGCATGCATCTACATTGTAATAGTATTTTGAGTAAAACAATTAATTTGTTTTGGTTTTGTTTTTAAAAGTATAAAACAATATTTATTTAAAAAAATATTTCTAGAAAAGTTAGAAATGGTTAGGTGCTATAGCATCAGCATCTCTAGAAAGTATAGATTATCATATACACATTGTTAATAATTTAATTGCGCAGGTTTCAATCTGTTTTACAGAAAATTAGGTAACATCTAAACAGAGCACAGCAAATAATACATATTTACATGGTACTATTCCTATAAGTTCAATTTCAATGTTTTTTTTTCATGGATAACTTGACAGAATAAATTTTTGTGGTTATTATTGTGCATTTTTCTACTTCAAATTTTTCAATAATACTGACATAGTAGGCCTTGTATTTTGTAATAATATGGCGTATTTTGCTCCAAAAATACAGTTTATCAAGATCTACACTTTAAATCAAATCCGGAAAATCGCACAATAAATAAAGATATTCCAGGGGTCAATATAGGAATTTGAAACAGGCATTGCACTATTGAACCAGATAAAATTCCATACCTGGAAAACCATATAGAAAAGTAATTTCTATATGGATTGCCATATAGGTTCATATTGCTCTATCTGGTCCAATATGGTTTGGGTGTGAAAAAATTATTACCATATAGATCTATATTTAACCATATAGGGGAATCTATATGGTTTGATATGCAAGTTTAGTTTAAATATATATACATTTTAAAATGGAATTCCATATTCAACCATATAGGGAAACCTATAAGGAAAGACACATAAAACAGAAACCAGATAAATCCATATAAAAATCCCTAAGTTGTACATTTTAGAATGAAATTCCATATTAAACCATATAGATTCCAAAATGTAAACCAGGTCGTTCCATATATGACATATAGAACCATATAAATCCATATTAGTTTCCTTATCTGGATCAATATGGGTTCTATAGGGCATTTTTAATAGGGTTACGTCTTCTTAAACTAACCTATCAACACAAAATTATAAGGTTTTAATGGGCTCGAGAAATGGTCCTTACTGGAATAACGTGATTTTCTCTGATTAATCAAAAATTAGCTTGGTTTCTAATTCACAAAGAACACTAGTTTGGAGGGCCCCAGAACGAAAATGCCGAGTTAAAACAGCTTAACCGCGTTTCCCATTTGAAGGTGGAAGTGTCATGGTTTGGTTTGGTATTATGAGAGGTACCCGGACGCCCCTACTAGTTCTGTAGAGAAGAGTCACTTGTGCTATATATACATACATACATATATGTACATTAAGTTTTAAATCCTGTTGTGCGTCTATTCCGAGATGCCGTGGGTGACGAATTTGTTTTTATGCATGACAATGCACCTTCGCATCAAAAAGTAGCAGTACACAATTTTCTTTAATCAGAGGGAATATCCACATTATGGTGGCATGAACGTCATTAAGCATTCCTGGGAGATTCTAAAAACATGCATCAAAAAGCGAAACAATTTTCCTATTACACTGCGAGAACTAAAATATGCTGCTCGTGAAGAATGGTAGAGAATTCCGCAAGCCCAGCTTGACCATTTGATCGACAGCATGCCAAATCGCCTACAGTCATGCATATAGGCCAAGGGAGGAAATACTGAATATTAGTTTTATTAAAAATTGTTTTTTTTAATTTTTTGCTCATTGTTTATCTGGTGTTGAGGTTAATTTAGTATTGGTGGGATTTATAAAAAAATGGTGTTAACCAAATAATAATTATAATAATAATAATAATGATAATACTAAATAAATATCATTAAAAAAAAGAAATATTCCAATATTCCAAATGTTTGTGTATTATACATTGTACAGTGCATATTCCTATTACAAAATTTGGTATGCCAAAGTTGTTTTATAGTGGGATTAAATAGATCAATACAAAGGCCCTCGTCCCATCCTTTGGGCGGCGTAAACTTATATAAATGTGTCCTTACGTTCGCAGAAAAATGGGGTGGGGCGCCATCATGCATAAAAAACATCGAATCTTAAATTATAGGGCACCTCATTAAGGTGGTTTATAAAAAAGTTTTGGATAAAATACAAGTCGTTTCACCGTTCAGTCGATTTGGTAAGATATCAAGAACTCGCCAATTATTTTTGCCCAAACGTTAATAAAAATCCTTGCTGGTGCAAGTCATGCAGATTTTCATCAGCCAAAAATTAATAATTCCATCCCTATTGAATCCAAATTCGTCGGTAAAAATTATTTTTCCAATAAACTTGGGGTCTTCATGGCATTTTTTTCTTAACAAGCTCAGCAAGCTGAGCTTGGTGCTCGCTACAGGTGGGAATCGCGCCGCGACCGCTCCACCTAATGTGGGTAGTAATTTTAAGGATGATTTCTTATTTCTTACATCTCATAAATTAAATTTGGCATGTCGCATTATTACTTAATATTTTGCTGAATCTCTTTGATCCCCCTTGATAAACCTCTTAAATGCCAAACAAAAATTAAACGGGCTTTTGGCCGTTTCGTTATAATTCGATAAAGATTTTCTTTTAGTATGTCAAACTGCATTCTTTTACGCTTTGATTCCGGTTTTTTTGAGTGTCCAATTTCCTTTTCATTTTGGAGCAAGACATTTTTAAAATTTTTATATCAAAATCGGAAAAAAATGGAAAAACTCGAAAAGTTTCGGGTGGATCAGCCTGTTTTTAATAAAAAGCAAACTACCGCTCTGAAGCAACTTTTCCCCGAGTTTAGTCGAAAAATTTTCACTCGTTCAAAAATGAGGCGATTTCAACGAAAGGGGTCAAAATTGACGAAAAAATGGAAAAAAATCGACTTGGGTCTTTTTGGCAGCCGAAAAATTTGGCCCACGGATAGGTGGGCCACAAAAAAATATTTTCCAGTGTCCACTTTTAACAGTCTACGAGCTACGGCGGTTGGAAAACAGCGATGCACGGACAAACACACAGACAACAGAATAAACAAAGTTGTTCAGAATTCGAAAACTAAACGATTTCAAAGGAACGGTAAAATTGAAAAAAAGATGGACTTGGGCTTTTTTGGCAGCCGAAAAATTTGGTCTACGGATAGGCCTTGTGGGCCCGAAAAAAGGATATTAATCTCAACTTTCCATCTTTATCGGTTTCCTATCTAAGAGGCGATACACGGACAGACTCACAGACATACGTACATTTGAATGTTTAGCCTCCTTTTGCCACTTTTGCGATCGGAGGCCGGCGCGATAGGTAAGCGCGTTCGCGCGCTTTCCAACAAGCTCAGCTTGGTGCTCACTGCGGGTGGAAATGGCGCCGCGACCCCTCCACCTAAACTGGGTAGTAATTTTAATGATTATTTTTATATTTCTTTCGTCTTCTGTTACCTTTCATGTGTCATTTGTCAATTGTGACATGTCACCCGTCATCTGTCATCTGCCACCTATCATCTGTCAACTTGACATCTTTCACCTGGAATCTGCCACCTATCATCTGTCATTTGTCATCTGTTACCTGTCATTTACCACCTGTCATCTGTCAAAGTGTTGCTGGATACTTTGTTGGGTGTTGGGACTTTAATTCAAAGATCCACCTGATAAATGAATTTTATTTTTTGTTTGAGAAATTTATACAAAATCTGGCAACACCGCAATTAAATTTAACAATGCCGGATTAATACTTAATATTTTGTTGGATCCCCCGCAGTTATCGATTTGATTTTGGGGATTTTAATTGGCAAATTTTTTTAAATACCAAACAAAAATTAAACGGGCTTTTGCCCAATTCGTTTTTATTCGATAAAGATTATATTTTAGTATGTCAAGGATTGTTCTTTTACCCGTCAATTCGTGTATTTTGTTTGGCCGACAAAATTATCGAAAATTCTCGAAAAAAATCAAAAGAAATTGTAACTCGAAAAGCTTCGGGCGGATCCGGCCCGTCACCTTTCATGTGTTATCTGTCAATTGTCATCTGTCGACTGTCATCTGTCACCTGTCCACTTGACACCTGTCAAAGTGTTTCTGGACACTTTGTTAGGTTCCCCGGTATATGATTTGCAAAAAAATTTAATGGACTTTAATTAAAAGATCCACCTGGTAAATGAATTGTATTACTTATATTTTTTCGTTTAAGAAATTTTTATAAAAGCTGGCAACACTGCAATTAAATTAGGTAATGTCGTATTATTACTTAATATTTTGTTGATCCCCCTGTAATTAATTTGATTTTGGGGATTTTAATTGGTAAACTTTTTAAATGCCAAACAAAAATGAAACGGGCTTCTGGCCGATTTGTTTTTATTCGATAAAGATTTAGTATGTCTAATTCCATTATTTTAGCCTTCAATTCGTGTGTCCAATTCCAAAAATATTCCAAAAAAATCGAAAAAAGATCGCAACTCGAAAAGTTTCGGGCGGATCCGGCCCGTTTTCAATAGTTTGGTCCCGTGTGAAAACTAAGCGATTTCAAAGGAACGGGCAAAATTTGAAGAAAAAATAAAAAAAAGACTTGTGCCTTTTGGGCAGCAAAAAAAATTGGTCTACAGATCACACCGTCCTTGAATAGGATATAGGTTTTTCAGAATGTCCTAAAAAACTGATTGTGAGATAATATTTGGTGGGGTCCCACCCACACAAAACACCCACTCTTTAAATTGCAGCTGCTTTTTAAGCCATTTTTTTTTAAATAAAATATTGGTAAAATTCATAAATTGCAATTTTGTGGCTATTTTCTATCAAATAAATTATTTTTTATGGCTTATGAATGACCACTAGTATCAAATTATATCATTTATTTCAAGTTCATTCAGTTTTTTTTTACAAAAATACCACCAATTTAATTTGTTTGTGTAGTAATATCCAACGTTTAAAGAGGGGAAATATCCTCAAGCAAACAGGGTTACTGCGCCGATAAAACGATTGTTATGTGAGTTCCTGGGCCGAAAATATAACGAAAATGACTCAAAATATCCCACCTCAATATGTTTGACATGTAAGTTCGCTTTGTTTCAAAGAAGAAATCCTAATAAAACCGGACAGTACCTGAGAGCTTTGCCAAAAATGCCAAATGTTTCCAAAAATTATGTTAAAGAAACTTGATATACAACAACAGATTGTAACTGTTTGATTTGTATAAAACCAAAATACTGTGTTCATCAAAAGAAAGGAAGGTAAAAGTTAAAAAAGACGAGTAAAAAGGTTTGCAATAAATGCCTTTAAACAGCAATGCAACTTATATACAGGAAAAAAAGGAATTTTTGTTATGATAGAAGAGTCACTACCTACAAAATACAAAGATCAACTTAATTAAAGACAAAATAGACATATCAAATCAAAGTACAATGCTTTTGCCAAAAATGTATATTCTTCAAGGTTTTGTGAAACATCTTTTTTAATAGGGATTGATTCCTCTCCTTGGTAGAGATAATGCACTGAAATGGCCAAAGAATTTAAACGTTGTGCCTAAAAACTATCAAGAGAGGTTATGAAGGAAATGCATGTCGAAAGCTGCTTTAACATGCAAATGAACTTAATTTCTCGGAAGTTTTGGGAAATATTGATAGAATATAATATATTATAATATATTATGTCCAACCTTTTATATCAGCAATGAATATTATGAACAAAATAGTCAATAACTGCTAATATTATAATAATAATTAACATCTTTATTGGTTTCCCAACAGGCTATCGACCGTGGTCTTTCTGCCCAATTTTACAAAAAAAATTATAAATATAATAATTAATTAATTAATTAATTGTAGTTACAATATTGAATTTATATAAAAAAAAATAATAAAAACATATAAATCTCAAATATTTTAGTCTTCGTTAGTGATGTCCGTGATTATCTCCCATAAAGTTTGTGTAGGATATTTCCTTTGGGGGGCAGGTTATGGTCTCTACCGTGCATTAAGTTTTCCATAATTTGTATGTTGTGGTGTTTTTTTTGCAAATTGGCATGCCAGCTCCTTGAAACGTTCCAAAATGGGGGTGACCTGCGTTGTTTCGTATAGCAGTTGTTTTGATGGATTATGAAGTGGATTATCTGGGTGTCTCATTTTGGTGATTATTCTCAAACTACTCCGTTCAGCCCCTTCTAGCTTACATACAGTAGTTTTTTTGTAATTTAGGTAGATTAGGAAGGCATATTCAATAATGGGCCTGCATATCATTTTATAGATTTTAATCGCAGTTTCAGGGTGGTCCTTAATAAGGTTATTTTCAAATTTCTTCGCTCCCAGGGGCTCAAATACTTCCAAATTGATAAAAAGAAATTCCCTGAAAATTTGAGCTCTTAATATTAACTCTAAGATAGTGCGCATTCCAATCTAAGTTTCCTATGGAAATAACATAGGAAAAATTACTTTTGTTGTTTATAATTTTATAACTTGGGAACAAATGAATTAAAAATTATAAATCATACATATTTTTATAGAGAATTTAACGCTCTACAAAGGTCTCCTATAATTTTTCCATTAGTCTTTTGGTTTAAAAGTTATTCAACGCCAAAGTTTAATTTTCATATTATTATTAATATTATCAAGGCGCCGTTTGTGTCAAAATTAAAAGTGCTAAATAAACTTATTTTGTTTTATAAATAATTAATTATATGTTTTACCAAATAATTTTTTTATAAAATAATTTTTTTTAAAATTTTTTTTTTGGAAAAAATTTTATAAAATAATTTTTTTATAATTTTTTTTTATAAAATTACTTATTTTTTTTATAAAATATTTATTTTTTATAAAATTATTTTTTTTGATTTTTAGTTTTGTTTTAAGAAAATTGAATTATTTATTTTAATTTGTTTTCAAGAGAATTATTTTATTTATTTATTTTAGTTTTTAACAAGTGCTTTCTTATAAAAAACGTTTAAACATAAAGAATTCTTGTTAAAAACTAAAAATCAAAATAAATGTAGATAAAAAAATTAAAGAATTAATGAATAAAAATAATAAATTATTATTTTCAATCGTTTCCCCCAAATTGCGTCAAACAAAAGACCAGTCCGTCATAAAATTGTATCTGGGGAGGGGCGTTCGGGTTTACTCGAGTGTCTACAAACAAATAGAGATGGTGCACGGTAAAAATTAATTTATAAATGCGCCCGTCGTCTTTTATAAAATAATTTTTGATTCGCAGAAAATTACAAAAAAAAATATAAAAAAATAATTTTATAAAAAAATTATTTGGTAAAGCATATAATTAATTATTTATAAAACAAAATAAGTTTATTTAGCACTTTTAATTTTGACACAAACGGCGCCTCATAAAAAAGCCTTGATAATATTAATAATAATATGAAAATTAAACTTTGACGTTGAATAACTTTTAAACAAATAGACTAATGGAAAAATTATAAGAGACCTTTTTTGTAGAGCGTTAAATTCTCTATAAAAATATGTATTATATATAATTTTTAATTCATTCGTTCCCATGTTATAAAATTATAAACAACAAAAGTAATTTTTCCTATGTTATTTCCATAGGAAACTTAGATTGGAATGCGCACTATCTTAGAGTTAATATTAAGAGCTCAAATTTTCAGGGAATTTTTTTTTATTAATTTGGAAGCATTTGAGCCCCTGGGAGCAAAGAAATTTGAAAATAACCTTATTAAGGACCACCCTATTGTATACCGTTATTTTTGTATGTCAGGCTTCTGAAATGTTTGGCTCTTGTAATCATCTTGGTTTTCATTAATTTGGCATGAAGATTGAAATTGAGTTTGCTATCTAAATGTATTCCAAGGTATTTGCATGCATTAGATGGTCGTATTTGTTAATTAAAAATTTGTATAGAGGGGGAATTTATATTTATTTTGTGATTGAATAATATTAGTTGAGTTTTATTGGGATTTGGTTTTATTCTCCACTTGGAAAAAAACTGGATTATATTTTTGCAGAGATTTTGTAAGTGAAGCATAGTGAGTTTTAAATTTTTCTGGTGTGCAATTAAAGCTTTATCATCTGCGAATTCTAGAATATATGTGTTAAGATTAAATTGTTGAGAATAGATATCCTATGTGAATAGGTCGTATAGAATGGGGGATAAAGGAGAGCCTTGCGGGACACCTTGTTGCATAGAAAATGATTTAGATAATTTTTGATTGTGTTTAACTAGACTCGGTCTATTTTTTAGAAAGTTATTTATAAAGTGAATTAGATATTTTGGACAATTTAAGCTGTATAATTTGTATAATAGGCCGGCATGCCACACACTATCGAATGCTAATGTCCAAGAAGAGAGCTGCTGATTTGTTGCCTTTTAGATTGTTTGTTTGAACATTCGAAGTTAGAATAAGCAGTGGATGGATTGTGGAAGAATTTTTTCTAAAGCCAAATTGATGGGGTGGAATCCTGTGGTCTAGTTCTTCTTCTAGTCTTATTTTAATGATTTTTTCCAATGACTGGTAGTAAACTTATTGGGCGAAAGTTGGTTGTTTTTGTCAGATCGCAATTCGGTTTAGGAATGTTTATTATTATTCCTTTTTTAAATTCGGTTCGGTTTTTATTACAGTAATTATATATATATATATATATATATATATATATATATATATATATATATATCTAAAATGATTGTTCTTACCACTTTGAGGTCTCTTTTAAGGCTTGCAAGTCTCTCTGTAAGAAACACAACTTTTAAAACGATTATTAATCTGTACAAACCCAAAGTACAAGAATTCTTCCTTTCGCTCTTTTCTGCAGTTGGTGTCTAAATACATTTTCTTAGTGTACCTATTTATGTAGATGCCAATAATTAACCTAAACTAACTAAAGAAAATATAAATAGGTACAATGTTTAATATTTACTTCTTATAATTTTTTAATTAAAACATATCTACTTCATACTATATTTTATTGTTTTTTCCTGGCACGGGTTCGAACCTTTGGCCGAAACTTGTCCGGTGGGTTTAAATTATATTTATTGGCTTTAAGGTTCAAGTATAATCGTCTGATTTTTGGACAACTAGTCACTCTATTTAATTTAATTTTTTATATTTATTTTGATTTATTTTCGTGTAAATTAACTTTATATTTATTTTTAGGTTGCAAATGCAATGGTTGCAAATTGGGCAGGCCCTCCAGCAATGTTAGCAATATTTCGCAAATTGTTTGGATCGTTTGCAGCCCCTCATATAATAAAACAAAATAATTTTCAAAACTTTCAACATTATTATCTACAAAAAACAATACCATTAGCAATGGCTGGCTTAAGAAATACTCACGGAATATGCCCTCCTGAAGTTATCAGGTTTTTGTTGGACCTATTTAAATATAATGACAACTCAAAAAACAGACATTCAGATAATTATTACAAAGCCGCATTAATAGAGGCCTTAGGATGCACTGTTACTCCTGTTGTTTCAATGGTTCAACAGGGTGCACCTATTACAGCCGAAAATTTGAGCGCTGATGCCAAACTAATTCTGGAGGAGGTAACCAGACTTCTTAATTTAGAAAAAGCATTACCATGCTATAAATATACTGTTTCTGTGTCTTGTCTTAAAGTTATTAGAAAATTACAAAAATTTGGACATTTACTTAGTAAACCAACTTTATTTAAACGTTATGCTCAGGATGGACATTTTATTGGTAAGTAAAAATATTAAAGAGTCGCAACCTAGAGTGTTTTATTATATCCTAACGGCGCAAGTTTTCAAAAGAATTCAAGGATAAGTCAGACACAATCAGATGTCTCGAAAGTAATAAGCAAACTATTTCTTGAAGGGGTTTATTGGTGCTAAGTAATTTCTAAAATTTTTAGGAAGAACAATTTTACCTTATTTTTATGTCGTGATGTTAAAGAATTGTTTTTATGAGGCATTTGCGAACGGCTAACTAGAATCAGTCGGTTATGTAAAAATAAAATGACCTATGTATTAAGCTTTAAATATATAAATTAAATACTGGTTAAATAAACACTAATACTAAAGCTTTGGTATGGTGTTATGGCAACAACAGTAGCAATAAGACGTTTCTATGAGCAACATTTATTTATGTCGTTTACATACCTTTTGGATGAAAATTATCGTAGAGTAATAATTAGTTTTTATTGCATATTGAGTACAATACAGAACATAAAATAAAAAATACAAAATATACAAAACCGGGACCCTTCAGTCTGTTACACATTACATTAAATGATATAAAAAAAAATGATAATAATAATAATATAATAATTATTATAAGACAATTGAGGATTATTTCCAATATTGTTTTTTTCAGGAATTTGGTAGCATTTTCATCGACTTCTCTGGTGATGCATAATTGTGTTAGTATCTCGATGTTGTGATGTTTAGCAGCAAACTTAGTGGAAAGATTTTTTAATCTTTCAAGAATTTTAACTTTTATTTTTAATTTTTGATAAAGAACGCCATTAGGAGGATTGTGAAGAGGGTTTAGGGGATGGCGGAGTTTGGAGATTGTTCTTAGGGCTGTTGTTTCCGCCACTTGGTGGCAGTTTTTCAGAAGAGGGCGGCAAGTGGCTTTGTACATGAAAGCTGCAGTGGATAGATAGGGCTTTTTTGTAGGCTCTTCAAGGAGTAATCTGATAATTTCTCGAATAGTTTGTATAAACAAGGTAATAAGTTTATTGGGCGCTAATTACCGAATTTGGTTGAGTCTGCTCTGCTTTTGTAAATAACTACAATTTTACCCACTTTCCACTCGTCAGGGAAATATACATAATTAAGTTAGTACTTAAATATATTTATAATGTATTCGTGTATTAGCGGTGATAATTGTTTAAGGATAATCCAAGGGGTTGATCGTGTCCTGATGCATCAGTTCTTTTGACTGGGGAGTAGCTCATAGTAGGTATTTTCGTTGATTTGGTTTTGGGGAAAATGCTTTCTCAAAGTGAGATGCGAAAACTTTAGCCTTGTCACTGTCTTAGTGATTTGTACATTCTCTTCTATGTCAGATATCTTATGTTGTTTTTTGTATCTTTTCCTTTAGCATTGTTTATATCTTCACACGCTTTAGTCCACTTGTTGTTACCATGCATAGAAATTAAATGTTTTATATTTTTTCCTAATTTGTTAATAATGGCTTTTGTATTGGGATCTTGATAAGCTCTGTATTCCCTGTACATTCTACGTTTTAGTTTGAGAAGTCGGACGATAAACGGCGGTAACTCATTTACTTAAAATACTGTCCTTGAGTTAAGTGTTAAATTGATTTATGATATTGGTACTTGGAACTGCATGATCATTGATGAAATTTATCATTTTATGGTTTATGGATTCTATATTGCATTTGTTAAAAACTAATTTTTCTCTTGGAGCTGGTTCTTCAAAATTGTCTGCTTTAAGGCTTGAAAGCATGGCCAAGTGGTCAGAGCCTAAGTCAGCAATTAGGTCTACAGCTACATATTGTGTGAGGTTCTGCGAATGAAGTATAATTTCTTTTGTGAAGTTGTTATTGTTTTCCATTAAAAAAGTTGGGGGTGTGAGTTGTTTAAAATTCGAATGGGTGGTAAAGTTTTTTAACTGTTTACATTTTTTGAGATTTGGGTTAAAGTCTCAAAATATTATACAGTATTTAAAAAGAGTTGCTTTTAAAAAGATTTATTTATCTATTTGGGCACTTGGATAAACATTTACGCATTCGTTTAATGGGTTTTTTAGTTTTAATGCAGGATGCATTTGTACTAGACTTCCCCCTCTGTTATTTAGGTTTACTATATTGCCATCTATTTTCAGTCTGCTCCAGTCTCGTTAAGAGTTTTGTTTTCCACGAGTAGGGTGTCTTTGATGCCCATTTTTGAATGGTGTATATCACAGGATGTGCTTTTTGTTGTTAAAACTATTGATACGAGTTTAATCGTGTCCATTGTTTTGACTATACTGTAGGCCTTGTGTAGCTTCTGTTGGTGATTCTTCATAATTCTCTAGATCAAACATAATGTAAAGTCTATTTTGGGTGAAGACTGCCGTGGTGTCTAGTGCTTGCAAATCCAAGTCCGACCGGGTTGGAAAGGACGGTTGTTCAATACCCGCGTGAAAAAAACAAGGATAGAACGCCAAAAAAAAATTCGTTGGTCAGAGCCGGCAGGCTACCACCACCTGTTTGGCGTTCTATCCTTGTTATTTTCACGCGGGTATTGAACAACCGTCCTTCCCAACCCGGTCGGACTTGAATTTGCAAGGGGAAGAGCTAGGGAAAACTGCATAATGGCAGTTTTTGTAAAACATTCCTCTATTTAGCAGTTTTTCAAATGACGGGCGGTCGCCAGTTATAATTCTTATAAGACGAGTAGGTTTGTTTGTGGCTTTGGCTATACTTCTTTTGCCGTATCTGTCTTTGATGTTGTTAATAGTAAGATGTTCGATGATAACGTTATCTGGGATTTCTAGTTGGACTGCATTAATGACACATACATAAGAGGCCTCTTGTGATGTTTTGTTTTGATCTAATTTAGGCTTTTCAATAGTTGGTTTATAAGAGGTAATATTTCCTTGGCCTATTAAAGAGTCAAGAATAGTAAATAGAATTTCTTTGTTGGTGTGGGATTTTAATAAAAAAACCTTTTTTAGTTTTTAAAATAACGTCTTTAGAGGTGGGGTAAATAGTTTTTGTTGCCGTTAGTGATGTAAATTAGAGTATTGAAACTTTTGTTGCTTATTTCTTTCATTTTTAACGAGGAATTGTAGTGGAAATGATTAATTTGATTTACTTTTTCTGATATTATGAAGCTTTTTTCTTTACGTGTACCTACCATCAATACTCGCAATAGTGCATTAATACATATTCCATTGTGTAGAACTAATTACAGGCAATTCAGTTGTGTGCCTAGATTGGCACGTAATCGGATTGCCTGCAATATCGATATTTTTAATGTAAGCTTGTTTTCTTTAAAAAAATACCTTATTAATAATAGTTAATTATATATATGTTTGTTTTTTATATATATTTTTTTCCTTCTCTTTTTGTTTTGTTATAAAAAAATTCTTACTGTATCTTTTTTGTGCTACTTGGATTTTCTCTGTATGTACTACTAAATGAATAATTATTATTGTTTGAATTGATGTTTTGTTTTGTTGCGGAATGTAAATTTTTTGCAGTAGACAATTAAATAGGATTAAAATAATTAAATATGATTAAGAATAGGCGCAATATAAAAAAATAAAAATTTAAACCCATCCAAAAGCCATACAGAAAACCAATTTAAAAATACTCAGTATAAAAAATATTGCTTTTGCCTTCTCGGGCCCAAGGCACAACTCCCTTCGTGGAATTTCCTGGACATGCAATCCTAGACCAAACCATTATATACGTAACTACCTGAAAACGTTTTGATGCAATCTATTAAAATTGAAGTAATTAAACTGCAACGTTGCCGAAATCGCCCGCCAATATTTAAAAATATATATTATTTTGTAATTGGCAAGGTTCGGTGCAAGAACTAGATAACTCAATTTCCACTGAAATGTTTTACATTTTAAAATAGACTTTTGAAATTTAATAATGCGCTGCTAATATTCTTAATTATTTAGAAACCACGACAAAACCTAAAATCAAAAAAATAAAAACCAACAACATTACCACAACCGAACCAAAGGCTATAGCCAATATATTAAATAATTACTATGCCAATGTAGGGACAAACTTAGCGATGCAAATAAAAGGAAAAATGCAAAATAAGGAAGAACAGTTAAAATACAATGTAAAAATGTCAATGTACTTAAGACCCACGCACCTTAAAGAAATAATTGGAATAATAGACAACCTGAAATCAAATGCTTCGTCTGGCCATGACAAGATAAAACCTAACTTAATCAAAAAACTTAAACATGTCATTGCCCCAGTATTACTCCAACTAATAAATACGCAAATGAAAAAAGGGGCGTTTCCAGATGAACTCAAAATAGCAAGAATCACACCGATATACAAGTCAGCAGACAAAACTGAACCTGGAAATTATAGACCAATTGCAAATCTAACAGTATTCAGCAAGATTTTTGAAAAAGTACTACATAAAAGGTTATCAGAACACATACATAATACAGATATTCTAACAGCTAGCCAACATGGATTTCAAACACATAAAGGAACAACAACAGCAATAAGCAACTTAATGAACTACATTCTAACACAACTTGACAACAAACTAACGGTAACTGGTTTAGTACTAGATTACAAAAAGGCATTTGACACAGTGAACCTGGACTTATTAATTTCAATGAAAAATATGGGAGTAACTGGAAAGTCTCTAAACATGTTCCAGTCATATCTAACAAATCGACGCCAGTTTACAGTGGCAGGGGACCAATGCAGCACAATAGAGGAAATCAAATATGGTGTTCCTCAGGGGTCAATTCTGGGACCCTACATGTACTTACTTTACATTAATGATCTTAGCCTATATAAAATACATGGTAAAATGCTCATGTATGCAGATGACTTGGCAATTTTTTACAAGAACGAAAACAACAAAGACACAGAAAGTAAAATTAAACAAGACTTAAATACACTAAAAAAATGGACAAATTCTAATCAACTAACCCTAAATCATCAAAAATGTCACTTTATAAACTTTGAATCCAGAACAAGAGAACATCAAAATCAAGGAGCCACTAAAGGAAGTTAAAACAATCAAATACCTAGGACTACACATTGACAATAAACTAAACTGGAAGCAACACATACATAAACTAAATGAATCTCTCTCTTCATACATATACCTAATGATTAAAATAGCAAACACACTTCCTCTTAAACAAAGAATCTTACTCTATGATTCCTATATTAAGAGTCAATTGGCATACCTCATACCTTTTTGGGCAACAGCAAACGAAACCGCTAAAAAATCGTTGCAGCGAAATCAAAATAAAATATTAAAGATTATGCACAAAATGGACAAATACATGCCTACTGAACAACTTTATAAGATCACCAAACAGCTAAATATCGAAGAGCTTAAACAACTAGAAACCCATAAATTAGTGCACAAGATCATAACAAATAAGATACTGGATGAAGAAGTAACATTTAGAAAAAGAGCGGACACACATTAACATAATACAAGAGGACGTGAACAAATAGACTTAGGAAGAGCCAAAACAAAATATGGAGAAATGAAAATAAAACATCAAGGGTACCAACTATACAACAAATTACTAGAGAATATAAAAAACCTACCCGAGACGACTTTCAAAACCAACTTGAAAACTTTTATTTTGCACCAAAGAATATCTACTTAATATATTTTCTTATTTATTATTTATCATATAAATCCAATATTATACATACTTATTTATTATATTATATTTATACTTATCCGATATTATCGCTACTGTGATATTTAGGATGTACTTTTTTAAATAATAAAAAAAAGAATATTTGAACAATACATATTTAGTCAAAAGTCAAGTTAAAAATTTTTAAAACACAAATTTAGGAGAAATGTACTGGTTCTTGCACTGAACATTTTTAGATTTAATTTGTTTTATAAATACAACGCTTTACATTGATTTAATTTTTTTTATCCAAAGTTTAAAATGGCTCTTAAAATACATTTATATTTAAATATATTCATTATTAGGTCATAAGTGAAATAATTAAAATATTTTTACATTTATTTTTTAATATAAATATTACAAAAACATAATTATACAGTAAAATACTATATCAGTACATATAAATAATAATCATAAAATAAATAATTGAGGAGTGCGTGGTCAAAAACAAATTTATCCATTTGATCAAATTTTCAGGGAAGCGTAAAAAGGTAAAAATACATTAAATTTTTGCTATTTAAGACATCCTGTTAGTTTTTCTAACATGCCTAAGTAAGCCACTGTATTCAGAAACCTTTCAGAATTTGTAAAATTGAATTTATAGAATAAACATGTTTTGTTTATGAACAAATTTCATTTAAGATGATTATTTTTAAGTCCCATTTAAAATATAATAATAATCCTCCTCTACAATGATCACTACTTATTTGCCAGAAGTGGACAAATTTACCAGCTTTGGGAGTAATGCACCTATCTTGGAAGTTTCCATTGAAACATTCATATTTGCTGTTGATGTTGGTGGAAGTTTTAGTAATATTTTGTGCTGTTAATGCAGTTTCAATTAACGAATTCCTGGTCATTTCAATTTCTTTTAACACTTGCCGGGATTGGGATGTGGAAGGAACCACATCTTTTTCACCTACAAAAGTGTATTATGTAAAATACCTGCCAAGTTTTTAACAAAAGTAGATATTCGAGACAATTACCCTTTTTCTATAGTTTTGCACTGTCAAATACAGAAATCAATTCCTAAATAAGTTATGACTACTATATAAGTTATAAATACTATTTTTCCAAAACTTACTTCTGACAGGCAAAAGCAGGCAATAAAAATAATAAATATAGATTTTCATGCAGAAATCATCACTGCAAAATTTACACTGGTAATAATAATGTTGGTTAATCCAGACGAAGTCTTTTATTACGTAAAAAGTCCTTCTGAGTAAAATGCTTTGAACACACTCTGCAGTTTGTAAAAAATTATTGAGTTTTTGATGCGAATTCGAGTCCGACCTTAGAATTGCTTCATCACATCAGGTGAAAATTTTTAACCCAAAAGTATAAAAGAGCGTTTTAAAACATCACGAAATATTGCCTTTCGTTATTTTTAAGTATATTCAACAAATATCGAATTTCAAATTAGCAAGTGGACTCTTGAAAATAGAAAACTTAAAAAGGCAACAAAATATTTATTTTAACAGGCAGAACAATTAAACGATTAAAAATTAAGATTAAAAATAATCATTTCTGAGTGTCTGTACGTTAAACACACATTCTCCAGATTAGCTAGAGTAGTGACCAATGGTCTTCTTGTTAGGACAAAAAATATCGGGGACTTTGAGTAAAGCTGAGAATTGAATTCAAATAATTTAAATATTTGTATCCGAATATTTAAATATTTGAATAACCAAATGTTCGATCATTCGGATATTCAAATATTTAAATATTTCAAAAACACGAATCGAATTGATTTAATTGACTAAAATTACTAGCTGAATATCTAGCCATGTCAAGAATTGACAAATAGTAGACAAGAGTAGACATTTTTGATAAGTCATTTTTGACATTTTTAACGAATGCAGTTGAATATGTGTATCAGTGTTATCTATGAATCTGTTTTATCTGTATTAAGTGAGTTTGAACACCTTCGATTCAAACTTTAAAATTATGTATTTAAATCAAAATAATATAAATATAGAGCTTTTTAATGCATATAATATATATATATATATATATATAAAAATTCATGATAATTCAAAATTTTATTTGTATACATATTATGTATACAAATAAAATTTTGAATTATCATGAATTTTTATCGAAATAACAAAACATTAAATATTTAATTATGTATCTGATTACTCCAACGAGTCTGCCAAACTTTAGAATAATCAAATTATTTAAACTTTTTAATTATTGAAATATTAAAATTAAAATTTCAATTATTTGGATATTTAAATAAATCATATTAGTTGAATAATCTAAATATTTGAATATAAATACTAACGAATATTTAAATATAAAAATTATAAAAATTCACAGCCTCACAGGGGTTAGATCGTGAGGCATTTAATAGAATTGTGCGCAAGGAAAGTTCGGAGAACGATTGAGTCCCTAGATTGCGAACCTAACCAACATTTCTAATGGGACTAAAAAAAATTATATTATATTGAAAACCTACATATAATATCCCTTGCGGCCTTGAGTTTACGGTTTATTCACCGTGAATTCACTGTGAATTCACCGTGAATTCACCGTGAATAAACCGTGAATAAACCGTCTGTTTGTGACATTTGTAAACGGTAGTTAGACGGTGAATTCACGCACTTTTCACAGTATTTTAATTGTGAATCCACCGTATTTTGGCGGTATATTCACGGTGAATTCACAGTGAATTCACGGTGAATAAAACAATAATAATAACACAATCGACTATAGCTAGCCATTATTCGTTACTAAGCAGATGAGGATGGAGATGGGGACTTCAAACAATTAATGTTCATCTATGCCATTAGAGACGCACACTTCCAACTAAACCGCTTAACACAGAAATCGACTAATAAAAAAAACCGCTAATAAATGGCATCCAACTTGTTGTTTTTTTCTTTATGATGGCGTCTCAAGTTGATTTTGCTCAGCTACACGAGAGCTCTCTTGCGATATTTGTATTGTATTGGGAATAACCAATTATCAGATTGTTCGAATCATACACTTACAATTTGCGGTGTTTTTACAGTCAATTTACGGTGTTTTCACAGTAAACTCACAGCGCTTTTACGGTGAATTTACGGTGATTTCAAGATAAATTTACGGTACTTTCACAGTGAATTTGCGGTGATTTTGCAAACTTGAGTTCACCGTGAATTTACCGTGAAATCACCGTGAATTAACCGTGAAATCACCGTGAATTTATCGCAAAAACAGCGTGAGTTCACCGTTTAATTTCCGTCTACAAATGTCACAAATGGACGGTATATTCACTGCACATAAACGGTGTATTCACGGTGAATTCACGCAAACGGTGAGTTCACCGTAAACTCAAGGCCGCAAGGGATATATTGAAAACCTATATATAATATATAAATATATACAGCGACATGTACATTTTAGATTGGTTGCTAATTAAGCTAACAAACAACTTTTAAGAAAAAACGATATTTTTAATATGTATATTAGAGTGTTTAAAAAAACGACTATTTTTTTCCTCAAAGAACATTGAATATTGGGTTTTAATACATATAAATTGATTTTTTGTATTTAAGGGAAAAAAGCATAATTTTAAAAAGTCTGAAGTTTGAAACGCCTTGACTTACGCAAAATGCCAATCAGACCTTATTTGTAGAGCATTAAATTTCCTATAAGGGGTAATTTTGTCTTACTTATGAAGTAGCTCGTTATCACTTTACAAAATTACAAAGTTTGAAAAAAAATTTCCCGTGTTATTTAAATGGGAAATTACAAAACGCCACCTCTAAATATTAATATTAAGAGCTCATATTTTCACAGGGTCGTTTTCTAGAGATACTCTGACGATTTTTCAATGTTCTTTGAAAAATTTGAGACACTCAAAAAGAAACACTGTGTATTATATCAAAAATCGAAGATTTGAAAACAAAAGTCACCTTTTGGTTAAATAAATTTTAAATTATCGGAAATAGTTTAGCCTGAAAATTAAAAAAAAAATTTACCTATATTTAGCACAAACCCAATTGGTATAATAATTGTTTTGATTTATATTTATAATTTTTAGATGTTCGATTGGCTGCACTTGAATGCCTGGTAGATTTTGTAAAAGCAGATGGAAAAAAAGAAGATTTGGAGGATCTTTTAGATATTGTTGAAAATGATCCGGATCCAGGAGTACGGCATAAATTATGTCGACTTTTAATTATGAATCCACCATTTAAAAGGGCACACAGAGAGCGTTTAGATCTTTCCGTCTTTGTTGAAAGAATATGGACCAACATTAAGTACGTATAATACTGCCGTAGTTAATGAAAACGCCGTATCTACAGAAATTACATTTTGAGAAATTCGACATTTTCTGTTTTGCCTTGTGCCATTCTTATTTTTAAAGATAGAAACTTTTTGGTTATCATTCTAGTAGCAGTGACTAAATATGGTTATTGCAACGCTATATTTATAGTTCTCAGCATTGAAAGAAATTTGCATATACGGCATTTTACCGTATCTACAAATTATTGTAGATACGGCATTTTCATTAAATAATAATAATAATATTACAAATATTTCTGATGCCATATTTGATGGATAGAGCAAAGGTTAGTTAGGAAGTAAAAAGACATTTTTGTAAACAATTTTTTTAATTTTATTTGTAATAAAAAAAATAAACCTGATGCTTCTAAGTCATATAAGGTAACATTAGGTAGGCATATAAACAAAAACTAAGGAACAAAATGGAAGAAGTGAATCTACTCATCATCGGAATCTTCAATTTCACTGTCATCTAAACTAGTATCAGCCTAAGAAACTGGTAAATCTTTCCAAAAACTTATTCTATTTGTTGGAATAATTTCCGAGAGCTTACTGATTATGTTTTCCTTTCTTTCTTTTAATATACCCCGTGGTTCTTTCTGAAATTTTTCAATTTATTTGAAAAGTGAGGTTATGTCAAAAAATAGTTAAAATAAAAATTGTATATCTTTTTATTATCTACATCTTTTATATTTGACTTTTTTGATCCGAGCTATAGTTTTCTTTTTATTAACAAACAACCGTTTTTTTATGTCTCGCGCAATACAAATTAATGTTTTAACAATAGTAATAATAAAGGTACCATATTTTGAAAACATGTTTTTTATGTAAAATTTGACGGAGAATACGATAAAAATACTAAAAACTTTATACGAGGTGGGGGCCATTGTTAAAAATTGATTTAAACAATGAAATTGTTAATAACAATATGAATTTGTTAATAATATTTATTAAAAATATTTTTTTATTAAAATTCAGTCCTTAAGCTTTAAAATGAAAAAAAAAAGAAGTTTGTAGCTCAAATAGAACCAGAGTTATAAATTTTTGAAAATGAGTCTCCAAGCCAAAAAACTCGTTATTCTCAAATTTTCGATAGCTTGTATTATCGAAAATATGCGAGAGAAAAAAAATTCCTCGGACACGTATCTCTTATTTTTCGACATAGAATCCGTAAAAAAAGTTTCAGCCAAATCTGAGATGTGTCGGTCAAAAGGTGTTCGGTTTGTAAAAGAATTACCCATATGGGTATTCCATTTTTGACATACATTGCAATCATCAGGAATTTTATTTTTCTCGTGGCCTATCTGCTTACAATGCAATTCAAAAATCTCACAAGACCAGCATTCCTCATGCCCAAGTTTAACGAAAGATATATTTTGGTCGGCAACTTCTTGTCGGTACACAGCATAGGACACTGTCATTGAGGGATAATTTTCTTGTAAATGTTTGTGCATATACGCTATATTAATATCAGATGGAAGAGTCTTTTTGGTGCATGTGCTCTTCGATAATGAGATATTGTTGGCCCAAATGAAGATATGTGATCAATAATAACCTTACGATCGATTTTTTTATTTGGAGTCACCCTTGTTCGACTTTTGGGTGTATAAATCGCAGTTCCGTCATTATCAGATGATGTTATAGATCTGAGGAATCTATCATGTGAACTATATCCTATTGTCCCCAAGAAAAAAGTTTTGCATACCCGATGGCGGTCACCAACATCATCTTTCAAGAAATAATAATAATAATAATAATAATAATAATAATTTTATTTCTTATAAATATACACATAAGAATATACACATATTTACAGAATCATAGTCAGGATATACAGATTAACAAATTGGTAGAAATAAACATTAAGGCACATAATTAAAATATTCATCCAGAGTATAGGGTTCTATTTCGATTAAGTATTCCAATATATATTTTTTATACTCTTTAAAACATCTACAATTTTTAATATGTAAAGGTAACTTATTATATGCTTTAATACCAGTATAAAAACATCCTTTTTTAAATATTGCCAATCTATGAGGTGGTATATTCATAACATTGTGTCTGCTATTAATCCTATTGGATAGCTGACTAGAGAAGACATTCCAATTTTTAAAAACAAATATTAAAACTTCATAAATATATACAGCCACAAAAGTTAAAATTCTGCTATACCTAAAAGAACCCCTACACGTTTGGGTAGCATTAAAATTAAGAATTGCTCTAAGTGCTCTTTTTTGAATTTAAAAAACATCATTTGAATTCACACATTGACCCCAAAATATAATACAATATCTTAAAATAGAATTAAAATTGACATGGTAAATTGTTTTTAGGACTATCACATCAACATATTTTTTAAGTACATAAATTGTATATACAACTTTACTAAGTTTTTTACACAACTGCATCACATGAGGAGACCAATCAAGGTGTTCATCAAGATGAACACCCAGGAATTTAGTCTCACTCGTAAATGCAATTGGCAAACCCTGAACAAAAAAACTATTACGGACTATTGCGTTGGAGAGTTTGGTTCTAAACAATATAATATTTGTTTTTTCCTTATTAACAGTTAAATTATTAGATTTAAACCAATGACAAACATCATCCACAAGCATACTACAGTTATTTACAACTTCCAAAGAAGTTTTACCTACCACAAGTAAATTTGTATCCTCGGCATAGTTCACCATACTCTGACTGGTATTGGTTATATTAGCTGATATATCGTTTACATATATAATGAACAATAAAGGACCTAACACGCTACCCTGGGGAATTCCCAACAATATTTTCATATTCAGAGTAATAGGCAATTAAGTCCCTTATTATACACACCCTTTGCATTCTATTGCTTAAGTAGGATTTGAACCAGTCGAGTGCAATTCCTCTAATACCATACTTGTACAGTTTTAAGTACAGAACTTCATAATTTAGGCAATCATAGGCTTTAGAAAGGTCTAAAAAGATTCCCATTGCACATTCCCGTGATTCGAAAGCTTGAAGAATTTTATTCGTAAAATTGAATACTGCCGTGTCAATGGATCTTCCTTTGATGTACCCATGCTGCGTGATGTTAAATAGTGTACATGTTTTAAAGAAACTCACTAGCCTATTACTCATTGATATTTCAAATACCTTTGAAAAAACTGAAAGAAGACTGATAGGTCTGTAATTACCCATTAGAGTGGGATCCCCCTTTTTGAAAATAGGTTTGACCACTGCCAATTTGAGTCTATCAGGAAATATACCGTATAGGAAACTATTATTAATGATATGTGTTAAAGGCTTACAAAACTCAACAGCACACAACCTAATATTACTTGATGGTATTTTATCAACACCACAACTTAGCTTATTTTTTAAATTTACAATTATATTATGTATTTCATTGCTACAAACAGGTCTTAAAAACATACATTTAAAATTTCTGACTATATTACATTTAAAATTAGAGATATTAAAATCGGATGTTAATTCCAAAGCAGCATTAGATAAAAATGTATTAAAATTTACAGCAACTTCAACAGGGGTTCCTGAAATAGTTGTATCACAGTTTGTATCACAGCCTTTAATATCTTTAATTATTTTCCAAACACTTTTTGATTTTTTATCTGAAGAGATAATTTGATTGGCATATGTATTCCGTCTATATTCTTTTAATAAATAATTATATTCACGTAACACACTATTATATTGGTCTAAATATCTATTATCGTGCAATTTACAAGTATATAAAATATCAAGCCTATTTTTACAATTTGTAATTTCTGGTGTTTCATACAAATGTTTTTTCCGTTTACAGTTCATCAAAATTTTAGGAAAACAATACTCAAAAATCGGTGTAACAGTTTGCATGAATTTGCACCACTGAAGATTTATATCTGCCGCCTTGCGCCTTGCGCCTTGCTTCTCCTATATGTTGTTTAAATTTAAGTTTATTTTCAGTGGAGAAACAACGCGCCATTCTAAAATTTTGTTCATTGGTTAAAATCGTTTTAAAGGTTATTTTTTTAGCAGTATGGTCAGATAGATATATGTGTATGCAATATTTCAGTCACAAAATTATCCTCATTTTTAAATATATTGTCAATACAACTGGAATTATTACTCGTTAATCTTGTGGGTTCATTAATTGTTTGATAGAGATTATATGAATTCATTAAGTTTATAAATCCAGTTGTATTTCTATTTGAAATAGCAAAGTTTATATTAAAATCTCCTGCTATAGTTATCCTACAATTTTCATTAACAACATTTAAAATATTTTCCATGCATGCAAAAAAATCTTCAATATTAGCGTTCGGAGTTCTGTACACACATATAATAATATATTTTACATTATTTAGAAAAAAATCACATGCAGCCCCACGTTGGGCGCCATTTTGTGGCGTATTTTTTTCCTACTTACTTTGCTGACGGCAGCTTTACTGTTTAGGTTGCGGAGAGCAGGGTTCAAAAGTATGACCGTGGGTTCTTGTAGAAATATTAGTGTTTGTGTCAAAATGTGTTCTGGTGATTTTTATAGCACACAACAACTTACCTTGTGGGCGCCAAGTGATCATTTAAAAACATGAAAATTAGGTCGATCACTTAACCTAACTTAAGTTATTCTGAAAATTGAAAGGTTTTCAACAAAAAGGTTATTAAAATTTAATTGGGTTTAATTGGACTGTTGTTTCGGTTGAACATGTAGAAATTAAATCAAACTATTGTTCGATTGAACATGTGAAAATTAAATCAAAATATTGTTCGATTGAACATGTGAAAATTAAATCAAACTAAATAAACACTAGGTGTTGTGCATACTACCTCACGATACGTATCGATGGTTTACATATAATAATTAAGCGGTTCTATGACCGAAACAAAAATAATTAGCGGTTCTATGACCGAAACAAAAATGGGTAAAGCGGTTCTATGACCGAAACAAAAATGGGTAAAGCGGTTCTATGACCGAAACAAAAATAAT